TATCTTCACCACATTAATGAATGCGTGCCTTGTATTTATCTTTATTCTTTAAAATGTATTTTTCTTCTGGCTACTTTTCCCTGCTGCTCAAATACACCTAAATTTGCAGGTATGACTTTAAAAATGGAAATATCCAAACAATTTTGAATTTCCTGACTAGACTCTAAACTCTTTGAGGGAATATTCACATTTGTTTCATTTTTATAACTCTCCAGTAGCACCAGCACTGACATTGAGCCTTGCCCATGAGGCATAGCCAGTATTTGCAGAATAAGTAAATATGTTGGATGTTTTGCCATATTTTTCTCAAACACCACTTTTACAGATTGCTTGCATGTACTTCTATCAACTCAACTAGCAAAGAATAAATCGTAAGAATGGTCTCTTGTAAATGAAAGGAGTTAAGAACAACTCATAATTCTTTAAAAAGTAAAATGATTTCAATAGTGTCAGGTAGTGTTGGTGAGAGTAACTACAGCTACTATTCTTGCTTGCCATCGTAGGATCCACAGTAGAATGATCCACAGTAGAATGGACTTTTTTGTTTTCTGAATCACTGCTCCAGGTTGTCCCATTTGCTTCCAGGACATCACAGCAGAACAAAGAGGTTCTAAGAAATGTATGTATTAAGTCATTTAATTTTATTAGCTTTGGGGGGATGGTATAGGCTGTAATTGTTTTGCTTTGCAAGGAGCTGATTGGAATATGCTTTTAAAATTTACATATTTCCATAGTAATATAATTAATTTATGTTATAAATTATGTTCTAATATGTGTTATATTCTAGATTGTAAGTTCCTTTGGGGCAGCAATATTTACTTCCCCTTGTGTCAGTTCAGAACTCCAGGAAGAAGCTAAAACAGGAAAAAGTATAGGAGATTTATTGGTGTTACACCTATGAAAGAAGAAGGGGAGAGGAAGCAAAAGCAGGCGGGGAAAGCCTTCAGGGCGCAGTACTAGTACAGTGAGTACTGTGACTTGAGAGTGGGAAGGGGGGAGGATTGGGCAGGAAGAGCCGTAGGCTGTGGGGCAGCTCCAAGAAATTCTTGGCCAGACCAACAAGAAACTGGTGCGAAGATGGACCGTAGAGAAGGCCACATTGGGCAGAAATAGCTGGGTGCTAGTGGCCTGTGCTTAGTCTTTGGCTGGAACTGATGCTGTAATAGATGGACAAAGGGGTGCATCTGGGTACTGTCAGATGCTGTAGCAGGTTCTCTTTTGAGAGAAAAGCTCAGCAGCTCCCTCCATGTTTGGCACCACACTGAACGTGATGGGATATATGGACTTGTAGAGAGTAGAACTATAAGAAAATGAATGTTTCAATTGAAATTACTTCTGTCATTGCACATGCTATGGTCCACTTGTAGACAAGCAAGCTTTCTATGGATACGTATTGCTCAAAATCAGACAATGCTCAAAATCAGCTTGACTGCATTTTTCCCAATATTTCCAAGTGCCTTTAAAGTTAGCCTGCAAATCATTGACTTTGAATGTCTAAATAGTTTTCTTCATTTGAATGGTGCCTTGCATTGGGTTAAAGCTTTTGTTAAGTGTACTATGGGCTGAAACATACACTGTCGTATGTCAAAGCTGGTAATAACAGCTCCAATTCTCTGGCATGTATTATGTGAATGTTTTTTACACTTTACACATACGTGTATACATTGATGCTTCACCCTATAACGTAGAGACTCTTATTTCGATTTTATAGGCAAGGAAACTGAAGCTCAATATAGGGAAAATTCTTAAGTTAGGCCACACATTTAGAAAGTGACAAGGCTTGGAATGGAACCCAAGTTTCTCTCACTCCTCAGCCTGTGGTTTCTCCACCGGCCAAGATGCCTTACCTGATGGTTTTCGCACAACTAACTATACACACAGGCTAAACCTTAAGGTCTATATAAGAACCTGAGAGGGGAGGGAGCTAAGTTTTATTGAGTCTTTCTTTACTATGTCACTGTATTATTTCAAATATTTTAAAGTCAAAAGTGGCAATCTCTTTAATTCATAGTAGACAGAATTTAACTGGAGAGTATTATTACTAAGGTTTTATTACATATCATGCCAATTAGAGTAGCTGATGTGCACACAAATGAAATGAAGGCATATTACAAACTTTTTTGAAAAGAACTAGCTATGTTTTTTTCTTCCAATTAGCTAAACTTTTGGGTATTTATCACTTCCTTTAACAATTTACTGTATTTCTGCCCACGGACATGTCTTTAAATTCGTATCAACAGAAGTATTTTCTAAGAATCCACAAGTGTGTGGTGTTAAACAGAATTTGTACTTAATGGAAATTAAGGATGCTGTTCAGAGTCTGTTCAATGGAAGATGTTTCATCAAGTCAGGATACACTCTACATTTATAGTACTCTGTCCAAAAAATTATGTTTTTGGAACAGATAGATATTGGACTTCTTGTGACAGAGGCAGTTTAAAAATTATAGATTACTAGGAAATTCTTAATATTTTTATTTTGAAATATTTTAACTATAACAGACAAGTACTGCAAATAACAAAAAGAACACTTGTGTACCCAGCATGCTGCTCTATCAAATTTTAATGTCTGACCTTGCTTCATAGTGTTGCTTTAACAAAATATCACAAACACTATGGAAGCACTTCTAACACTCCCAAATCCCACCTCTTCCCTCATTATTTTAAGGCTAAAGGTGGTGTTCATCATTCTCATTCACATTTTTAGGGTATACTCCATTTATAAAAACGCACACACAAACTAATAAGCAATGTATAACACTGTGTTGCATGTTTTCAAAGTTGGTGTAAATAGTATCAGACTATGTATTGTGTTTCTGAGATTGTGTATTTTGGTGCATGTCACATAATACATGATCCGGAGGTCTTTTTCTAATATTATGGATATGAAATAGCATATCTTACATTTTGTTTTCCTGATTACTAGAGAGATAGAACAATTTGTGCATTTTTACTCATCACTTAACATTTCTCCTTCTGTGACAGCCTGTTGATATCCTCTGGCTACTTTTCTGTTTGGCTGTTTGCCTTTCTCCCACCAATTGGAATAAATTCTTTAAATGCAGATACTATACCTTTATTATTTATTTCATTACACACATTTTTTTCCAGTCTATTTTTGTCTTGGAAGTTTGATTATGATTCCTTTATTTAAAGAACAGTTTTTACTCTTAAGTTACTGATTTTATCAATTTTCCTTTTTTAGATGTGTTTTTGTTGTGTTTAACAAACTCTTTTCTACCCTGATGCCACAAAAAGAGTCTATATTTTTTCTAAATGTTTGGAGGTTTTATTGCTTTACATTGAACTCTTTAATCCATCTAGAATTAAATTTTGGAATGAAGTGAATTTGGATCTAATTTTTTTCCCATATGGATAATCATTTGTCTCAGCATCACATTTAGAATAGCTCTCTCTTATGTCACTGTGATGGTTAATTTTCTTTTTGAAGTATCATTGATATACAATCTTATGTTGGCTTGAAATATACAACACAGTGGTTCAACAGTTGCCCATATTGTTAAATCCTCACCCCTTCTAGTGCAGTTATTATCTATCAACATAGAATGATGTTACAGAATCATTGACTATATTCTCCATGGGTACTACAATCTCTGTGACCTTATACTGTGATTGAGAATTATTGTGCCTTTTTATATAATGTTTAATTTTATGTCATTTTGGCAAGACCACAGTAACCAGATATTTGGTCAAAGAGTATTCTGGATGTTATTGTGAAGGTACTTTTTAATCCAACATTAACATTTAAATCAGTAGAATTTGAATAAAGCAGATTACCTCTATAATGTAAGCTAGACTCAGCCAACTAGTTGACTGCCTTAATAGAAAAAGACTGTTCTTCCCAGAAGAAAATGAGGGAATTCTGCCAGCAGACTGCATTTGAACTCAGAGTGCAGACCCAGCTCTTTCATGGGGCTCCAACCCACTGGCCTACCCTGCAGATTTTGGAGTTTCCAGCCTCCACAATCCTGTGAGACAATTCGTTAAAATCAATCAATAAATCTCACTCTCACTGTATATATAGATAGAAAGATAGATAAAGATACAGATTTAGATATACAGATACACATACACACATACCCTATTGGTTCTGTTTCTCTGGAGAACCCTGACCTAATACACCCACTCATTTGCATGCTGTATATTTCCCAATTGCCAGACATCAAGTTTCTGTGTATGCTTGGATCGTTCTCTGCCTTTCTATTCTATTTCATTTGTCTGTTTTCTACTCTCTTCCAACACAGTTATTATCTAATAATTAAGGATAATTTTTTAATTACTCTTATTTAGGATAATTCTTGTCATTTAATTTCTCTTCAAAATTGATTCTTGACTTCTTGTTCTCCCATGTGAATCTTATGGCTCATTTTATGACAATTTCATTAAAAACCCAGCTCAGATTTGTTGTGAAATTGCTTCAGATTTATTGATTAATTTGGTGAGAATAAAGTCTTTGTGATATTGAGTCTTTTTTTCTGTGAATATGGTATATCTCTCTACTTATTCAAAATTTCTATTATATTCTTTATAATTTTCTCCATCTTTTCCCACATATATTTTAGTTCTTAATTTGCTGTTTCTATAGATTTATTCCTATGTACCATATCACGCATGTTGTTGTTTTCAGTGAAATTTTTTAAATTATATTTTTAATGTTATATTACTGTTGTGTTGATATCCATTCTCTGCCTACCTATATCTATGTATCTATGGTATCTATTTTAGTAGGAGATCTGCTGATTCTTTTGGGACCAAAGACCACACCTTCCAGGTGCGCTGGAAGCTGGGGTGGACACCTCATTAACTTCTGGCCAGTGGTGTGCAAGCACACGTGTTCCGTGAGACTCTGAGGAGGTGTGCGTAAGGGAAGGCTCACGTCCACCTCCTCCTTCCTGTTGGCTGCGATACGAACATGATGACTGAAGCAATAGGCACGTGGTTTGAAGGTCCTATTTTAGTGTATTGCACACATTCTCTGGAGCTTACTATCATGGAATAGAAGTTCTGGCAGAGTTGGCAAAAACTGGAAGTTGTCCTCTCATTTACAAAAAAATTTATATTTTCTTCCTTTTGACAAAAACCTGAAACTTTAAGACTGAGGTAACTCTTCTTATTCATTTTTAGTCCTATTTCTGATTTGATGTGCTATTATTTACTTAATATTTTTGAATCTATGTTCATTGTGAGATAGATGTAATTTTCTTTAGTTGTACTATTATTATCCAGTTGTGGTATCCAGGTTATGTTGGGATTCCAAAATGAGTTAAGTAGCTTTCTCATGTTTTCTGGTCACTGAAACAGTTTCTGTAAGATTGATATTATCACTTGAAGCTTTTGGTAAAAACTGCTTATAATTGTCCGATCCTGATTTCTTTTGGTGGGGGGAAACTTTTGCTCACAAATTTGGTGTCCTTAATGGTTATTGCTTTATCTCAGCTCTCCTCACTGTTGCATCTCCGGGCTCCCCCCGCCCGTCTCCAGCGTCTCCCTGCCGCGCTGAGCCTGTCCTGCCTTCCCGGGCTTCCTGCCCATCAGCCTGCGGAGCGACCCCGGCCGGGACCGCGAAGGTGCAGCGGCTGTTGGCGGCGTCCTTCCCGCTGTGCTTGGAGGAGAGAGGGCGAGACAGCCCCTTCCTTCCCCCTTACGTTCGGTATGTTTGCTCCCACCAGGACTGGAACGCCATGCTGGGCAGAGATGTAATAGTTTTCTCCACTGGAAGCTAGTCCAGCCATTTTGGGTTTTCCGCCGGGTCTCACAGGAGAAGCCTGACGTCCTCTCTCCCCTGCGCTGACTCCCCTGCCCTCAGATTCTCCCCTCCCGTGGCCCAGGCACCCCTGTCCTTTTCTCCCTGTCTAAAAATACTCCTCAAAGTAAAACGTCTGGCCTCTAAACATGTCTCTCTTTTCTTATTTAGTGAAGCTTTCATTGCACACGGGAGAGGAGAGGGTTCAGTGCAGGGGGGCGGACATAGTTTTTCCAACTTCAGCTTTGCTTTTGATAGTTCCTCATTTACAGCCATGAATCATGAACTCTTTAACCGTATGTCTAATAAATGAAGCTTGTCCTCCAAAAGTAAATTTTAATGTTGATGAAAGCGGTCATTTGTTTTTTATTTTTCTCCTAAGAATTTGATCAATAATAGTCCTAATTCTGCACTAGGAGACATGAGGAACATTTTTCTGTCTTGCTCATCTTGGAAGACAAGTTCCCCCCAAAACAGCTTTACTAACTTCCAGGTACTGTGTCTCCCACCTGGAAATATGACATTTATTAAATTACTTGGAGTCAGCAGTCCATTTATGATAGGGAGAGAGAAATAGTTCCATCCAACCTTTTTTTGAGTAATTATATCACCTCTGTTCTCCAGATTTTCAGAAAGCATAAGAATAATGAAATACTGATGATCTATCTTTATTCAGTTCTTCCAGGCCTTTTGCCAAGAACTTTACGTGCATTACTTTATTTAATTCTTACAACATCCTTGCAAGTTACCATTATAATACTTTTCATAGACGAGAAAACCAGTTTAGATGAATAAGAAGCATATTCAAGATCACACAGCTGTAAGTGATGGGACCAAATTAAGTCCTAGGTCTAATTCCGGAGACCACATTCTTGGCCACCAAGAGAGTTCTTCCCTATACAACAAATAACATGTCATCCCTTGGGAGAGGGAAATCATCCCGCACAATTAAACTTTGCCAGTTTCCTGGTGGGGGAAACCACCTGGACCAAGCAGCTCCAACTCCATGGCCCCAGAGGCACTCTCTTTTGGAGTGCCCCCTGCCACCACATGCTGCTCTGGGTTGGGACAGCCCTGTTTTCTCTGGAAAGTTCCACGACTGAGATAGGCTGGTGTGAAAAGACCCGATTACTTTAGTCAGTGCTGAGGGAGAACATGAGAAAAGCAAACCAAGAACATACGCAGAGCACAGAAACCATCCAGGCTGGCAGCTTTGTGATCCTACTCTGGCTTGTTTTCTCTCTGGGCTTGTGGTTCTGGCCCCAGTCCACATCCTGTAAGGTGGTCCCAAAGGACTGAAACAGATTTTTGCCCACCTTATCAGGGACCACTTTCCAGCTTCCCCTGGCAGTGGAATTGGAGTTGGCATCTTGCTTGCACCATCACATGAGGCTGCTCCTTCCCCACTCACTTTGCTCTGGTGTAAGAGCTGGGTCTGCTGCCCACCAGGGAATGCCTACCAAGCTGATTTTCCAGTCCCTGAGCCTTCTCTTCCTCCAGCAGTTCTTAGGATCAACACAAGAATGTGCTGTCCCTGCAGTTTCAGGCACTTGTCTTGAGCCTGAAGGTCAACGCGATCACATCATCTTCAAAACTCAGTGGCACAGGCAGAAGTGGCAGGAACTGGTGGCCACACTACTATTTATCACCAGAGGTAGAGAGTGGGCATAGGAGGAAGCTCACGGCAACTTGTCTGTTTGACATGAAATTGTTCTGTAGAAGGCTGTGTGTAGCACCCAGCCACTGGCCACAACCCAAATAGACCCCAGTGCACCCAGCCCCTGAATGCTCTGCCTCTTCACTTCCTCTGATTTCCTCTCTGCTCACTTGCATGGGGCCCAAATTCACCAAACCCAAACCTGTCTCTCAGAGCTTGAGCTTTTCCTTATTCCAAGGAAAAAAACCCTGCATCCTATAAATTATTCCCGACCTTCCTCGTTCCTAACATCTCTCTGTATCCTGACACCTAATTCAACTTCAAAGTGAAACCTCTTGCTCAGGGCAATTGTCCTGATAAGTATCTATTAACATATTTATTTTGGGTTCAGACTTGGTCTTTAGAAACTCTATTAATGGTGACTTTTATTTAAGGAAAAGGTGTTGCTAAATTTGTTTAATTATAGCATTTCTCTCAGCTGGGCATTGAAGACCCATTCTCTACCAAGGTGCTTTATTGCTTTTAGACTGCCAATAGTGACTATACTAAAAAATCTCATTTTGCAGAGACTGAGGCTCAATGAGAAGGAATAACTTACAAAGTGGGGTCTGCTGTTTGTTATCAAAGTGTGCTCTTTTTTCCCACATTTCTTTAATATCCAACTTTGTTGCAGTTATGAATTTAGCCATGTATCAGTAGATTTTAAGGAGGAGAGAATACTCAGAAGCTCATGAAGAAAGTATATATGTGTAACTCCAGGGGAAAACATGTTCCCAGCCTGGGGCAAACAACCTTTGAAGCTGAAATCAGTCAAAGGGAGAAATAAAGTGGGAGAAACACATTTATTGCTTTACAAGCAGTTGTCCACTTTGCTTGCCAGTGTCTTTCATGACCCAGCTGCAAAAATGATCCCACCACACCTCTCTGGTCCAGATATGCCCTTGGTCCCCCTTGTAATCACCTATTGATATGGAGATGAACTAGTTCTCTCTACCCCTTAGAAACACCTATTGAAATGGAGATGCACTAAGGCCAGGTGAGAGATTCTGGAAATACTGCAGTTTCATCTGCAACATGGAAGGTAGGAGCAAGGGTATGAGAACAGGGGAAGAACCTGTTTCTCTGGTTATGAATAGTATTTATTTCCTTATCTTGGTCTCAAGAGATTCTTAAGAAGTTCTGGGTTTTTCTCACATTTGATCCTTGTTTTGTTGTATGACCCAGGTTGCTGAATATTAGGAAGAATTTGCTCCAGGAAGTGACTAATCCAAAGAAGATGAAAGATCTCTGGAGTGAATGTGGTGCTGATGCGCGCTATGGAGCCAGCCCACAGCCGGGAGCAGTCACGCCAGCCAAGTGAAAGACCTGTGCAAAAGAAAAATTGATGCTTTTATTATAATCCCCTGAGTTTTGGGGTACTTTGTGTCAGATAAATTCTAGCCGAAATAAGCAGGTGACGAGAGGCAACAAAGGGCCAGGCAGTTTATTTGAATGCAATTCCTAGGTGATATTCTCCTGTCTGGCTATCACAGGCCGCGGAAGTCACACACAGCAGACCAGGCAGTGAGTTTTTAAAGAAGGTAGGGGGAGGCAGAGCTTAGATTTACAGCAGCGCGAGGATTGGCTAGCCTAAGGCACATTTTTCAGGTTGGGAGGGGGCAGCAGCGGGGACTTTGGCACGTCATCAGTGTCTGACGTGCTCACCCCTCTCCCCAGTGCCTTCAACCTTACACTTTGTTATTCTGTATTATTGCACCAGTAGCTGACTGATACAT